GTATCATGTTTAGTATCTCACATTTAATTTGCCGGGACAGAACAGGTTACAGGCTAGGAATTTATGTTCTGCATTTCCATTCCCTGTTGTTATCTCTTGGTCAAAGGTCATGGTGAAAAAAAGGCTAAGATTTATAAAAGTAATATTCAAGTTTTCATAGCTATTCTCCAGAGTATTGAATTTAGTAGTAAATTCTTTTGTTTGACATTGTGAATGAATCCTCAATCTTGAGTCAAAACTCCCCCAATCGTAGCTTGGGGAGGACACTACTCTTGAGTCCGTGTGCCTGTAGTCTATTGGATCCTTTGAGGATGAATTAGAATAGATAATAAAGACAGGGTGGTTATTTACCTCTTTCAGTTCCATTGTAAATTATCTAATTCCCTTGAAGAAAAAACCAGAAGTGCTGCTCATTCATCTTTGTTCAACTACATTTCAGGACCTCCGTCTGCACCAAGAAATGTAATCTCTAACATAAATGAGACCTCAGTAATCCTGGACTGGAGCTGGCCTCTGGATACAGGAGGCCGGAAGGATATTACGTTCAACATCATATGTAAAAAATGTGGGTGGAATGTCAGGCAGTGTGAACCATGCAGCCCCAACGTCCGCTTCCTCCCTCGACAGCTTGGACTCACCAACACGACAGTGACGGTGACAGATCTCCTGGCACACACTAACTACACCTTTGAGATCGATGCCATTAATGGGGTGTCAGAGCTCAGCTCTCCACCGAGACAGTTTGCTGCAGTCAGCATCACAACTAATCAGGCTGGTGAGTACACACCTTGGTAGCTTCTGACTCCCACTGTGGTGACTTCTCGTTCTGGCCACCAAGTCAAACCAAACAGATTTGTGAGCAGAGAAAGGGAGAAAACATGGGTGGAAAAGATGGGAGAGAGTGTTCCAATTCTGCTGTCACATTCAAACAGTTCTGATACATTTGATAATTCAATTTAATGCTTCAAAACTGAATAAACCATGTTGTTCATTGATTTTAAAATTATTTTTATCCATTGATTCCTAGTTTGAATCTATAAATATTTGGGACTCTAGGGCAATAATGCAGCTCCTTGAACAACCTAACAGGCATCTAGCCTGAGATTTGCAAATGTTGAACAGGATTTAAGATTAATGTATCTTTACATTGATGAAAATTGGATTAAAATTTAGTTATTTAGTTATTTCATATTGCTAACAAACCACTGAGTATAATAGTTTTTAATTCTAGATGGTTTAGAAAAATACTTTAAACAAATATTTTTATAAATTTTGGATGATTA